AGCCCACAGCAGATAGGGTGCACAAAACTTGCTGACAGACCGGAGAGGCCCCAGAAGATACCTTGATCTTCCTGCGGACACCTTGATCTTGGACTTCCAGAAGCATGAGACAATAAGCTGTTTCAGCCCCTCAGTCTGTGGTACTTTGTTATGGCAGCTGGGTCTTTCATGAGACCAAGGTGCTAAGGGAATCCCGAAGAACAGGTGTTTAAGGGACCCTGGAGGGGACTTTTGAAGAGCTTCTTGGATGAGGGTAGGGGAGCAGACCAGGTGGCAAGGGAGAAGCTTTCCAGGCGAAGCTGCTGTTTGAGTAGTGGAAGGCTGACATGAAGGAGAGGCTGAGAGGAGGGGCTGATGCCCAAGACCTGCTCAGTGAGGCAGGGGTGAGGAGGGAGAGAGAGCTCACACCCCTGCGTTCACTCCAGCCTTGGCTTAGAAGAGGGTGGAGTGACATACATGGCGATGAGAGCGGGGGATTTTGCCTAATAACCGTGCTTAATTACCAGAGTAACATATAAAAGCCCAAATCTTGCAGAAATTAATAAAGTGGAAAGAAAAATAACACTCCCCCCCAAGTCTACTCCCTAGAGGTATGCGTTGTGACAGCTGTTGATAGTAGCCTGTGTCTGGCCTTCTGGTCTGCTTTTCAGAATTCTATCTTTTTAAAAAAACTTTGTGTATGTGTGAATAAGTATGTGTGTGAGAAACAGAGAGGGAGAGTCTTCCTTTTTGAGACATCTTGTCTTGAGTAAAAACCACAATTTCAGTGGAACTTTTTGAAATGCTGAAACCAGCTTATGGTTTCAGTCCTCTCTGAACCCTGCCTGGGAACCACTGTGCACAGGATGATAAGAGACAGCTGAGGTCACCTCCTTGGATACCTATGAGTTTCAGATTGATAAGCACACCTACCCAAGTCGCTCGGTATCAGTCCACGTGAGTTGAACTTTAGCCAAACCACTCAAGGAGACTTGTGTGGCTTTGTTCAGATTCTGAAACCAGCATTTTCCCTCTTGAATGAGGTTTTCTTCCAAGTGGCTCAGCAGAAATTAAGTCCAGCTAGTTCTGCCAGGAGTCCCCCAGACAGCCTCAACTCGTGCTGCCTCGGCCCAAACTGCAGCCTCTGTGTTTGCTCTGAATTAGACATGCAGTTGCTGTGCTTGCCTGGCCGGGGAGGGAGGAGAAAGGACAATGTGCGCATCTGAAAGTGCTGAGGCCTATGCCAATCCTGTGCTTTTTTTTCTTGTCAAGTCAAAGAAAAAAGATGGTTGCCTTTAGCTCTGTCTGCAGACTAGGGGTCTGGAGTGGTTCTCTGGGCGTTTGTTTCATAGATAGGATTCATTTAGGCTACACACCTGAGTTTTGACATGCATGTCACTAAGCAGTCAGATAATGCTATTCCACAAGTCTGTTTTTGCAGCACTGACATCTGAGAGAGGCAGTCTTTTGAAAATGAGGCTGTGGCTGAGTGCAGTGGCTCAAGCCTGTAATCCCAGCACTTTGGGAGGCCCAGACAAGAGAATTGCCTAAACTCAGGAGTTTGAGACCAGCCTGGACAACTTGGTGAGACCTTGTCTATACGATTAAAAAAAAAAAAAAGCCGGGCACGATAGCGTGCGTCTGTAGTTCCAGCTACTTGGAAGGCTGAGGCGGAAGGACCATCTGAGCCCAGCAGGTGGAGGCTGCGGTAGCCGTGAGCGTGCCACTGCACTCCAGCCTGGGCAACAGAGCAAGACTTCAACTCAAAAAAATAAAAATAAAAAAGAAGAAAGAAAGAAAACGAAGGCTGTGTGTGCATTCATGGGCTACTTTTCATTGCAGCCTAGCACCGTCCATTCCTGATCTGAGATATGAGAGCCCGCTTCCCAGGGCAGCAGATACCCTAAGCACGGCAGCAACAGGTGCTGTTTGCCAAGAGTCAAGGTTCTAGCCCTTTGCGATGGTCTTTGCCCGGAGAAGGAGCACCCAGGATTTAAAATCACACAACTTCAGATTCTGGCTGCGGACATCTGGTGATCTGGTTCCTGAGCTGAATGATCAAATATATCTTGCAGATTTGCTGGAGTGAGTGTCTCTCTGGGACCCCACCTGTCACTCTGTTTCTGTTAGTCGGAGAGTAGGGAAGGTGGGATTCTCTAAGCTTTCTGAAGGCTGTCTTTAGCTTTTGGGTGACTTCCATCGTCTGGACAAATAGGCCAACTCAGAAGAAGGTAGAATACCAGTGTCCATTAGTGTTGTGCACACGAGGCACATAGCCTTGGGCTGTCCTCAGAACATGACACATTTTCCTATACTTAATCCCCCTCTTAGACACTGAGGATGAGAGGACCCAGCCAGGACCACCGGAAGACACTGCCAGGCACATGGCAGGCAACTGGGATTGTAGACTGGATCAGGACTGCTCACCTGGGGTGTCTCAATGCCCCACCTTGCGACCTGGGTGTGCTTTCCACATGCTCTCAGCACTGCAGTCTAACACCTCCGAAAAGATGGCAGAAAGCCCCAAGTTGTGGCTTAAGTTGAAAAACAGAAAATCTCAAGGTTCCGAAGAATTCGTATAACCCCGTGGATTTTACAGTGGTAAAATTTTGTCTTGCTAAGGGCCCAAGTTAAAATGAAGAGATACAGATGGTTTCAGTGTTGATTGCTTTCCACCTCTCCCCTCTTTTATGTGTCTCTAGGAATACCCACAAGGTACTAAGGGGCAGTAGTTATAAAGAAAAGCACATACCCCTTCCATGAGTTCCTGTCTGCCTGTAGCTGGCTGTGTAGACAATCCTTGAGTGAATCCTTTGGGGAGGGCCTTCAAGATCAGTGACTTTGCAGGTGGTTATCTTTCAGGCCGTTATTTTTTTGGTGCAAAAGTGTATGCTTTCCTGATGGGTTTAAAGCACAGGTTGTAGTTAAGACCCGATTTGAAATGTTCTTCATTCGCAGAGGTTTTGAATAAGTGAACAGCCCCATGTCAAAGATAGGCGGTGGGCAGATTTCATTTAAACTCTAGCCAGAGAGGTTTAGATCACTGTGTTTGTTTCTAGATAAGGTGCATGCCTAGTGCGTTGGCAGTTTGCCAGTGAAATGCTTTTGTCAAGGAGAATACCGCAGTCCTCTGATTTCTGCACTTAAATCCCATATGGCCACTGGTACTTTTACATGGATTTGAGGCAGCTTCGCGTTCATTGGTGCTACCCTGTTGGTTCGGGTCCTTTTGCGCTCTGTCTGGCTTTTCCTTTCCTGGTTGTGCTGGAGCCTCAGTGTTCTGATGAGTATCAAAGGACTCTGAGTGGTTCCAAGACCCACTTACTGTCCTTTTGCTGGGGCCAGCAGACACTCTACGCGTTTGGTTCCTGTTGGCATGGTGAGTGTCTCCTCCACCCTCAGGCCGAGAAGAGCCTGGGCGTGCAAAGCCCACTGGGTGTGGACTAGAAAGGCCCCGTGTGAGTTCCTTACTCTACAGTCTGTTAGGGAAAGCCTGTATCATCCCTGAAAACGTTAACAGCTCTGTAAATCTGGGTGTTCTATCCATTCTGGTAGGTAATTGGGAGCATTCAACAGCATCATTCGTGAGAGCACCATGTCCGTGGAGGAGACCCATAGGTGGACAACCCAGAGAGCCACTCGGGCACTCCTGGTATTGGCTTAGGGAAGTTTGGCTCCAGACAGATCCACTTTCTATGAAAATTTTAAAAATGCAACTTAAAATCTAGAATGGCCCCTGAAAATAATGAATCCAGAGGTAGTGTGTGGGTTGGCAGTCCAGCATGGTGGCCTGTGTCGGTGGCTTTCATCAGTAGCATCAGCACGAGAAACAAGATGCCAGTTCAGGACCCAAGTCTGGATACCAGTCCTTGCATCTCAAAAGGGCTCTTCATTTTATTATAAACATTTAGCAGGGAGAAAGGTGATCTTCTTGGTACACATTTAACATCTTGCCCAAACCTAGTATTCCTATTATATTCGGTCATCACCTTTTTCTTGCATTAAATTGTGTGTGTGTGTGTGTGTGTGTGTGTGTGTGTGTGTGTTTTGCAACCTTTAATGCTAGTGAATTGCATAAAGAAGAACTCACTTTTAAATCAAAAAATGTATGAACTTGCCTTATAACATTTTTATGATAGCCTGGCTTGAATTATCTTTTTCTGTTTGACTAAAATAGAATTCGATTTTTCTATGGAGTATTTAACATTTTGGGTCATAATCATGCTAGGGATGAATTAATAGATCTTCTCTGAGTGAACTGTCAAGACAGATTCCCCACTGGGTTTGAAATGTAATTAAAAATGTCAGTGAACTCACTGGAAGTCCACAGAGTGCTTCAGGGTCCCCTCGAAAAACGTTAGTCAAGGACTGAAAATATTTACCAAGTGTAGTGAACATAATACAGCCGCAAGCTCTCCACCACCATGCGGAAGGGCCAGGCCACCTTTGTCTGCCTCCTTGTCTTAACAGCTATCTAGCCGCTGAGCCTCTGTCTCAGGTTTCTTGGGGGTGACGGGATGTTTTTAGCCCAAGGGGTCTAGTTGGTGGCCTGTCTCTAAAAATGGCCAGTGTGAGAGACCTGCAAGAGAGGAATGAGTCAGTAAATAGCATCTGTACCCTCTGCAAACCTTCTCCCCTGTTTTCCACGTGGCCACCTCCCTTTTGTGTTTGGCAGACTTGGAAGGGTGGGGTCATTGGGAGGAGGAGGATCGGAAGGGACTTGGGAGCTGAAGTTCCTTGATTCTGGCTGGCTGCTCCACACGCCCCATGGTCGTCCTCCACCTGCTGTTCCCAAAGTGTGTGGTTGACCCCCCTCACCCCGTCCTCACAGCTCACCCAGGGAATGGAAGGTGAGAAGAGGGAGAACATTTGTGTGCTGGCGGAGGTCTTTGGGCACAAGCAGCTTTTTTCTGGCATATGTTAAAAATGTTGGTTTCAGGCAAATAAATCACTAGTTATTAAGTAGTCACTTAAAATCAAGCAAGCAGGCCTAATATGTGCTTCTTTCTATTTCTTTTTAGATTTCATGCAATCCTTGTGTACGCGCGGCATCCCAGATTACATTTCTCTGCTGAGATTTGAGTTGGAGTTGAGAATTTGGAGAATTCCTACAGTTTCTCACTTCAGAGGTGTGATCCGCTGAAAAATTCATCCTTTTGAAGAGTTCTGCGTTCTGCCAGTCACCTCTCACAACTGTGTGCCAAAGGCAAGTCTGCAGTTTTGTGCTTAAAGCAGGCAGAGGACGTTGTTGCTCTTGCCGCATAGGCTTCCATGGGACAGTGGCTTTTGAGCTAGTAAAATGGCCTCAAACACAGTCCTGACTGGTTGAACCACATTAAGCGTAAGCTTTAGGAGGTGATGGTTTTGAGTACGTTGCCAGAACCGGATGGTGGACACATCCAGCCTGTGAGACGGCACGGTGCGCAGCTTGTCTGGCAAAGCTCAGAGTTCCTGAGGGTGTACTGGGTTGTGCCTCTCCTGTATGGTACTGGGGCAGGAAGCTTCCAAGGACTTTCAGTCTAGGAAAGGTTTGATTCCAGCTTTTAGGCTGAGAAGATAAGTCTACATCAAAAGAGATGTCAACTAATCATGGGTTCTGAGGAAGGGTTCACCTGTTGGTGTGAAAAAGTCTGCTCATGTGTGTTACGATAAAATCGTAACTGTCAAGTAGCATGTGGGTGCTGGGACCCAGCGTCCTATAATAACAGACGCTGGACAAAAGCATGTTTCTGTGTAACAAAATTGTTGCTTAGCCTTAACAAATAGTTTGGGATGTTTGATTTAAAATACGAGTGAGTGTTGGGTGATCTGCTTAATCCGGCATTCTCTCTTGGACTGGGCTGTAAGAAGTGATTTTTGAGAAGGTACCAGTTCACCTCCAGAGAGCTGTCTCAGAACGAGCTGCAGGGCCATCACTAGCTTTCCTTAAAAACCATAATTTGTGGCCGGGCTCATTGACTCAGTCTGTAATCCCAGCACTTTGGGAGGCCGAGGTGAGTGGATTACTTGAGCCCACGGGTTTGAGACCAGCCCAGGCAAATAGGTGAGACCTCATCTCTACAATAAATTAAAAAAAAAAAAAATTAGCTGGGCATGGTAGCACACACCTGTAGTTCCTGCTGCTTGGAAGGCTGAGGCGGAAGGATCGCCGGGGCCCAGCAAGTCAACACTGGTGTGGCCATGAGCGTGCCACTGCACTCCAGTCTGGGCGATGGAGTGACTCCAACTCAAACAAACAAACGAGCCTTAATTTGCTTATATTATTCAGAAGTTGTTTTAAAGTATTCGTGAATCTGTAAGGCTGGCTCATGGAATCTCTTGGCATGATGGTTTCTGTAAATTTACTACTTTAAAAGTTAGAATTTCCTTTAACTGGTCATCTACTATTACAAAACAACTTTGTGAATGTGTTCTTCCTCCTCAACCACTTAAAATCTCTTGGAACCTTTTTAATTTCAGTTATGCTCTTGGATGTGTGGCATTTTTGATGTGTAAAAAACCTTCTTATCTCTTACGATCCTTTTGGAGAAGATGACACACTGTTCTGTATATTTAAGGTGTTGCTCATTATGATTTCCAGAGGTAGGTCCTGGTTTGGAAGCCAGAGCTCCAAGCTCGTGTTGCATAGGCTGATTGCATGCCCTTCCTCCTTGGTCCTCCCCCTGTACTTTGTGACGCTGGCCCGCCCACCCCAGGGCGTTGTTGGCTCTTTGGGCTTCAGATTCCCTCACGCATTTATAGGTCATTCCCAGCTGTCTCTTCCAGACCTTACCCAAGGCAAACACCATTGGGGTGTTTCTATTCCGATCCTAGAAGATTTTTTGTTACATAAGAAAACACTTCTCAAACCCCCGGGAACTCAGTTTTTTAAAAAATTCCTTGAAGTGAAACTGTTTGAGACTTAGACACTTGCAAATGCAGTCACATTCTCAATCCACCTGTCAGATTTCAAGGGAATGGAATATAAGCTAGAAATTACAGATCCTCAGATTTCACGATCAGAATGTATTAATAGCTAATTGACCTCAGAATCTGTGGCAACTTCTGTCAAAGGTTCTTGATCATCAACGAAATGAACAGGTTTGAGTGAGTTCTTTGTCCTGGCTTAGACAAGGGGGCAGGGTGGGGTTAAGGTCCATGCTCGCTCACGGCCACTCATTCTGTGGAAGCCTCACGAGCGTTGTGTCTCGCAGACAGGGTGGTGTGTGGAGAACCATGGGCGGACTAGCATGAAAACATACTTGCCAAAATATCTACTCCGATATCATTTTAAAAGATGACTTTTATCTCATAAGTTTGTGAGCGCCATACAAAAAAACCTGGTTTACTTATTAGAATTTACTTTTGTTGTTTGGAAAATTGTTCACTGGGAAAATCTAGAGATTTAGCCATTTGTGTAATAAGTATTCGTGATGAGCACCAACTATATTCTAGGCTGTTTTTCTTGCGGTGACTGTTTTAGCAGTTAAAATAAAAATAGATACAATGATAGTTCCGAACGCCTTTTCTCATGCCTTCACCGGATGGGGCTGGAACATGATGGTTCATAGCCCGTCCCTGTTGCCTGAGACTGGACCAGCTGAACCTTTGAGGAAGTGTCTGGAAAAGCCATGGATGTTATGTTTGGAGCGAGTTTTATAAAGAACGAGGGGACATGTACAGAGGTATGATGAGTCCCCTTGGCATGGGTGGACTAGTTAGCTGAATAATAGGGCCCAGAAACTCTGGGTCATTTAAACAGTATTGGACTGAGGATCAGGTATGTGCTGTTTGGGTGTCGATCTTTGAGGTACTACCAGGAAAAGTGACAGCTTGGCTAGCCTCATCACTTGGAAGTCGGAAAGACGTGAAAAGCAGGGCTGGCCTGGGAGGTGGTGAGCGGGTTGCCAGCCTGGTGGCGTTTCCTATGACTGTGCGCTCAAGGCCTGCCCGGGGCCTGCTCCATCTGCACCGGGGCGGGGTGGAGAGGAGTTTGAGGAGGGCAGGGTATCTGAGCCACATAGTGGAGGGGTCTGAGTGTGTCTCTGAGCCCCTGTTTCTACGTGGTGCGTTTCCTGCCCGTGTTCCTGTCTCTGCGTTCAAGTTAAGGAGAAAGCCTTGGGAGCCTGGGGTGCTGACACTCCTCCTTCAGGGAGTTGAGACCACAGCGGAGCATGATGGCAGACCCTTCCCTCTCACACCCCAGTTATTTCTTTCACAAATGCACAACCTGTACTTAATTCCTCTCGTGTTGAAAATTGGCCATCGTCACGGAGAATGGCTGGCACTTCCTGAGGATAGAGGACGGGCAGGCTTTGCACCCTAGGCTGAAGATTCTGTCTTTTGAAGAGCTGCGGAGGTGTTATTCGGAGAGACATGACCTGATGGTAGAAGGACATGGGTGTCGTGGACGAGGAAAGGTAATGGCTCAGGTGACAAGACTCAGGGCTGAGGAGAATAAACAAGACCGGATTGCCCACACCGTGTGTGGGGCTGACACGCATATCGGAGTGTAAATGTCACCAGCGATCCTGGTGCGTCATTCCTATGCTGCTGCAGAGATAGCTGCGGCACTGGCTAGTGGAGCCACGAGCAGGAGGTGAAACATGAAGCCGGTCTGTCATGCTTGCCTGTCCAGAAATGCTCTCCAGGAATACTTATTTTAGGACAGAAAAGTTGTCCTGCTTCATATTAGCCTCCGTTTAGAGAATATCAGCTCTTCCCAGAGTATGCACACTTAGAAACACACAGCCTTCATCTTGCATCTCCGTTGGATCAGAGCCCAACTTTCTGGTATTTTGGGGACTGCTGGTAACTGACTTTGCCCCCCAGGTACTCTTTGGAAAGACTGTTAGGTGCAAGGTTCAATGCTCAGTCGTGACATTTGTAGGGCAGTTGGTGTTGCAGGTGTAGGTCTGGGGGTCCTCTGATATTCTGAAGCAACTTGTCCAGTTTCTGCCAGAATGGAGGGCAGCATTCCCATGCCCCACGACCACCCACAGGGGCCCCTGGGGGACCGGGGGAAAGGCCTCTGCCGCTTGGACCGACTGCTTCTCCACGCAGGGTTCTGAGTGTTGAGGGGTGCCACCACATTTGGTATCCCCGTTTTTATAGTGGGCAGATCTGCAGTCTTGGTGGAGGAATTGCCCAGTGAGTATTGACAGCTGCTGAGAAAAAATATTGCCACATTGATCCAGCATCCCCGGCCATGCAGTTGGCAGGAGCAGCTGTGACCTGCGGGGTACTTGGCAGGGGCCAGGCACAGGCTTGTCACCTCTTGTATGATATCTCTGGTCTCGATGCAGATGTTATTGCCCCCATTTGACAGATGGAGACATGAAGCCTCCGGAGAGGCCAGGGGGATTGTCCAGGGTCCCGGAGTTGCACACGCACGATGGCATTGTGGCCAAGGTCTGCCGTTTATGAGCCATGGTCCTTCTGCTATGCGGGCTGCTTCTGCCACACCCCAGTGGCGAGAGGGTAAGGACCTGTGCTCTGAGGGCTGACCTTGAGCCGGGACTCGAGGCTCTGGGAGATTAAACATCTTGGCCAAAGCCAAGGGACAGCACGCACATTGGGAGTCAGACCTTCCTGACTACAGCCTGTCCTTCTTACTCTACCATGAATTTCACGTGGTTCATTTTTTTTTCCTCGAAAAATCTCCAGCAAGCGAGTACAGTTCGGAAGAGAGTCTCTTTGGAAATTTAAGGGAGCGTGATAGATGTCCGACTTGGGGAAGGTTGGAGGTCGTAGGAGCTAGGAACCCAAATGCCCCAGGAGAGCCTCGGCGCTCCTTGACGCCCGGGACGGACTCAGCAGTTCCGGGATTGAGCTGAGGCGAGCTCACAGGCTTCAGCTCTGCGTGCGCTGTTCTGGATGGTGCTCGGAGCTGCCTTGTGTGAGGAGGATTCCCCAGCTTACCGTCCGACCTGCCGAGAGGGGCATTCTCTGTAGGGGCGAGAGGATCTCGTATTGAATAGCCACCTTCTGTGTGCTGGGACCATCTCTCTGGTCCCTGACACTCCCTGCAGCGCCCCTATGGGGACGCAACTTTATAAAATTGTGATCCAGCCTTTCTGTGTGTCGTCAGTGAAGTCCTCGTTTTCTCACGGTGGAGATGGTGATCAAAGTGAAGCCAAGCATTCTTCTGACCTAACATGCCCTAGAAGCGTGGTTTCCCAGAAAGCTGGAGAAACAACTTAAAAAAGCAAATCTCTCCCACTTCTT